GCATTACTGCAGCTGCAGCCCCAATCCGTCTGTCGATCTCCGGCTCGCTTCTCCCATCACTCGCGAACAAGACCCCGAGATACTTGAACTCCTCCACTTGGGGCAGGAACTCATCCCCGACCCGGAGGATGCGGGAGTTATGTTCCAAAAATAACCAGCGATAGGTGAAATCTGCGAAGTAGCCAGCTTTATTTTTTACAATTATTATAGATGATTTAAGGCTGTAAAAGCCGTCACTACACACTTTATACACGTTTCTCAGACAGGCATGAACATTTTCACACTTTTCTCTCTTGTTTAAACTCTCAGTCCAGTATTATAGAATGAAACCAAAGATCAAACCCTGTTTTAGGTCCAGAACATGAGAACAGAGCAGCTGCCAGAGAATTCAACATAAACGAATCAATGGTACGGAAGTAGAGGAAGCAAGAAGAATGAGCTGAGTAAAGTTTGACTTATCTGACTGTTTTGTTTCGCTTAATGCGCCTTATAATCTGAAAATTATGGTAACTTCACCTTCCTTTAGCATGTCCAGAAATCCAACTTTTTGTGCGATGGTTAGCATCTTCCTCTGCCGCAGCTGCCTTTGACCGTGCAAAACGTTTCGTTGACATTGTTGTGTTTGTTGTGGAGAAAACTTAGAAACATACAGTGCAGCACTTTAGAGTCACACTGCTAGGATCGAATATTTATGTAAATTTGACAAGCTGAACGCATTCTGTACTGTACAGCCAATCAGGACGCAGAACACAATGCGGCGTAAAAAAATACAACATTAAAAAAAAATGCAAAATTGCACAAAAGAAAATCCACGAAACAGCGAGCCCACGAAAGATGAACGGCGTTACAGCGAGGGACCGCTGTCCATCATGTTGTTTTTGCTACCATACATGTGCGTATTTGCTATAGCTTCACATACTAAACTTGGTTTGTTTGTGTTAGCATTATGTTGCAGTTAATATCAAAGCATGTACAAGTCATAATTATAGTATTATATTGTTATAAGTATTGCTCATCCATTCTCTTCCAATTAATCACATCAGGGCGCGCGGGGCTGGAGCCTATCCCAGCTACCACGGGGCGAGAGGCGGGGTAAAGCCTGGACAGGTCACAGAGCTAACGCAGGGAGACAGACAACCTTTCACACTCACATTCACACCTATGGGAAATTTAGAATCACTACTGAACATAACCCCACTAACTGCATGTCTTTGGACTGTGGGAGGAAGCTGGAGAGGAGCCACACAAACACGGGGACAACATACAGACTCCACACAGGAAGGCCGGGCCTTTCTGTGTGGAGTCTGTGAGGCAACAGCGCTAACCACTTAGCATTGTGTTTGTTTGTTCTGAGCCACCATGCAGGTCAGGTGTTTCCTGACCTATAGTGCTGGTGATGTCATTGTTGACAGTGATGTCATTGTTGACATCACTGGGCTAAACCAAGCAGAAGGGTGCTCTACTTGTAGAATTGTTTTCTTTTGTTTCTTTTAATGTGTATTTTTCTTTTATAGGGACCCATTTAGCTGTGTTAATGAGCTGTGATTGTTTAGTGACTGTTATGAGATTTTCATATGTACACATTAGATTTACAGGTTTGAGCTGTTGTTACCAGGTAGACTAATTAGCTGTGAATTGACAGCCTACATGGAGTCAGTCAGAGGTTGTTTCCGGTGCTTCTTTTTTGTGTTGGTTTGTTTAATATGGAGGTCTAACTTTCACATGTCACAGAGAACACTGTAAATAAACTCCTCACCTCGGAAAACTCTAAATATTATTTTTACCCGCCTGTCCAGACGAGCTTACATTCTGTATTGTTGATTTGGGTTTACTTTGGTGAGCTTTGTGTCTTCTTCATTCAAAGTTAAGAACTCGATTACAGCCACATGCTAACCACATCTGGCTGTGAGTGTGTGCGAGTGACCGCTGTGCATGAAAGGGACCAGCATATAATCAGATTTGAACGATTGACTCGTCACCGGTCTAGGCCAAGATCGGTGAAAATCCTCCGATTCTGGTTTCGGTCTGTTCGACCACTGTTGATACCTGTTATGTCTTTAGGTTTGACTGGAACCTTTGACTCATGATCAACTTGTAAATAACAGCTATTGAGCCCTAATAGTTAGGGATGCACCGATACCGATACTGGTATCGG